ACTTAAAAATTTTATTAATAATAAAAATAAATAATAATTTGTATAATATTTTATGTAAATAACTGAAAATAATAAATCTAAATAATATTATATGTGACTAGTTTGTTTTAATAACCATTTTTTAAATTAATAATAAAATAAAATATGAACATTATTTAATAAAAATTGATATTATTACTTTATAAAAAAAATGTTTACTGTGTATTGGTAAATTTATTTTTATTTAAAACTTAATGTTTCAATATGTAAGGGTTTTCTGTTTATCATAATCTATTTATCAGTTTATTGTTTATAATTACAATAATTTTAAATACTTTATCTTTGATTTTTCTATAAAATATTATGATCATTATATGGAGTATAATAAAAAATTTCATAATTTTAAAACACTACAACGATTAAAAACTTAGGATTAAACTTTTAATTCGATTTAAAATATTATATAATTCAATTAACAAATATTTTTTCCATTGTAGTTATTAAAATAATATTTATCAATATTTTATTCGTCTTTAAACGGGAAAACAAAATATATTTAATAATATTTATTACATCTAAAGATTATAAAATAAAAATGTTAGTAACCAAAATTATATTTATTTCATATTTTAAGGAAACATGTAATATTTTTATTTTTATAATAATAATTGATAAGTTATACTCTATCTTCTTTTAAATTTTTCTTAAAAGAGATTAAATCTAAAATTGCAAGCAGCTCAATGATTTAAAAACTAAGATGATACTTTAGTAGCACATTTTTAAAACTCTTTTGTGGTGTTCTGAGAAATTTCTAAGTCAATTTAAAAGTGTGTATCTCATTACGCGGATATTTAAACTTTTTTTTTAAATAAAAAACTAAATTCAATAAGTTATAAAAATGAACATAAATATTTTTTGAACTATTACGTTAAAAACCTAACCTAACCTAACATTTCATTTCTAATTACTTATTATTATCAAACATATGGTTTAAAAATACTATTACTATATTTTACAAAGGTGATAAATGTAATATTGATAAGATTGAATATGGAAATAATTAATAGAATCAATAATATATTTAGCATGAGCACTATCTTAATATACCTAAACAAATGTGCTATCCTGTAAAAATGATAAAAAAAACTTTTAATTGTTCAGAAAAGTTTTGACTCGAAGGGAAAAATACTGTAATTTCACTTCTTCAAAAACAAATAAACATCTAGAGTATTTTTATTAAATCAAGAATTTAACACTTATAAAATAGTTTATAAAATGTATACATATTTAATTATTTACTAGTCAAATAAATACGATTAAATAATATCTTACTTATCTTATATACTTATTATATGAATTTCATAATCCTAAATTTAATATTATTTTATGATTATTGAATATTTATATTCATCTTTATTTTTATTTTCCGATTTTTCTACTTGAATTTGTTGATTTTATTTATTTGTTAAATTTTTTAATAAATTTAAATAATATTTATTTAAAAAAAATGTTATTATATTTTGGCTGTATTGAATATTTTTAAAATATATAAAATTAAAAAATTCATTAGATACGTATACTTTATTAGATATTCCTTTTAGAGTTCAACCACTTTCAATTTTTTAATGGATCATCTCAAATCATTATTTTTACAAAACTATGAAAACACTAAGTTCAAAAAAATATTAAGTAACAATGAAAGAAATAGATTTCATAATTTATAGTCTAACTTAACCTAATCTTATAATTTAAAGACACTGAACTCTTTCGTTTCACTAAAAAACCTGTACTTAGTCGATTTTAGTTTTAATTTTATTAATATAATTGTAAAATAAGTTTAAGGCTTATTTTATGTAAGATATTTCTATAAAAATAAATATATAATTTATTAAAAATAAAAAAATTAATTAAAATGAAATAAATTATTCATTTCAAGAACATGGTTATAAATAAACCATGACAAATGCTTTAGGTACATTTAAAAGTGTGTACACTTGTTAGATTTCTTAAATATCTAAGTGACGTTTAACATTTAATTAATTAATTTATAGTAAAATAATGAAAAACATTAACTAAGTTATATAACGAAGAATAATTCTAATTGCCCACCTAACGTGGTTGGGCAAGTTTTTAGCGTGAAACCTTAAGCAAAGAGTACAACAATTTTAAAATTTAATTATAGCTGAATGGATAAATCCCAATTAGTTTCCATACCTTGTAATCAACAACAGTCAATTTATTGAAACATATATAATAATATTTTAAAAATGTTAATTATTTGAAATTCAGTATGTCTTTTAACTTAATTTTAAATTTAAAAACTTTACTAAATAACAGAAGTACCTCTACTACTGTTTTCCCAAATCAAGTACTGCATTCAAGTCTTTCAGTGACTATACGCCAGGACGGAATTTATACTATTAATAAAAATCAGTGTTTATTTTAAATAGTATTTATCAGAAATCTTAAGACTGTTTGGTTCAAAACTACAGTAACCATTTAATTTCGACTATACAAGACTCATAAATTATTAGCACCATTACAAATAATTACATTATAACAGTATTATAAATTCAATATTATTCATCTATTTTATTGTTTAAGGCCCGTTTCACACACAATGGTTTCGTCCGTACGATTGCAATCCGCAGGCTTTTTGTCTAAACAGACGTTATTTTCACATACGACGGTTTTTTTCCTAGATTCTTTTACGTTTGGTTATATTTTATTTTTAAACTTTTAATTCATTTAATTTTCAACATGAATCAAAATGTACCATGCTATGTGACTTTTGTATCGTCGTTTGTGATTACACAGAAAATGACGTAATAATCTTATTTACTAAGTACACCTAATTAATGAATATACACTTCTTCCCAAACATTTTTGGAACCATTTCTATCTTTGTGAAGATCTTAAGACTTATACTATAAAATAGATCTTCATACCACAGCAGAGATTAACATTTCTATGTCAATATCCATGTCATTTTATTACAAAAAGCGACTACAAGCAGTTTTTACAACGGACGGCAGACAAATAAAAATTGTCTTTTGTGAAAGCGTACCATAAATCACGTAGTAAACCAGTAGGCCACTGATAAGACGGCGACGGTATGGCGCCATACTTTTCAGTCTTTGACACAGCTGTATCACGGTGACCACACTGAAAAAATCCGTCCACCGTGTGAAAGCCGCAATTACTTTCATATGTTTACTGCTAATTAAAATCCGTATGGTTAAAATTTGTACGGGTGAAACTGTTGTGTGTGAAACGGGGCAGACAGCAAATCAAAAAATCCTATGTTGGACAAGAAAACTACTAAATAAAGGAAATGTTAGTTCAATAGTCTCAAAAAAATCCAATTTAATTTTAGTACTTTAGTTCCTGATAACAGCCACTTGTGAAAGATCATTCTCTTCAATGAAATGAATGAAAAATTAATTTAATTATTAATAATATATTTAATTAAATTGGACTAAAATCCTCCATGGCACAAGATCTTTTTACATTTTCATCTATTTTAAATAGAGAAAGAGATAAAACTAACAAACTAAATGTGAATGATAAAGTAAAAAATTTGCAAAAAAGGAATGTTAATTTAACTAAGCTTTTTAATGAACATTTAATAGTTTGAATTGTGTATTTTATCAATTATATATTTATATCTTATGTTATATTTTAATAAATATATGTGTAAGTATATGTAGTGACGAAACAGTGAGACATATTATAAACTGATGCATGTAAGGCTTACTCAGGTAACAAGCAGCCTTGATTCAGAGCATTTATATGATAGAACCTTCAGAGACTTCTTTAATTAATAGAACAATTGTATTTTCTTTTAATTCCATACATAAAAAGTAACATTAGTTCAAAAATTTTTATTTGTGCGTGGACATTATCTTTTAATATTCCGTAACACTTTCTATTAAAATTTATATTCATTTATGTAAATGAAAACATTTTACTTCGAAAACAACTATTAACTATTAAAGGTAAGAACTCCTAAGAAATAGAAATAAAAATATGTTAATTTCAATAATCAATAATAGTGGTGTAAGGGCAAAGCCTCCAAGGATCGCTGATATCACTAAAATGTAGCCCAACCATAAATAGAGTTCTAGTTGTGCCTATGGAACCAAAAGACTCAACTTTATTATTAAAAAATTAAGACTTATAAAAAATAGTTGTTTATAACATACTTTTAATTTAATAAATTGAATAAATCAATTATACCTAATATTCTACCATCATAACTAAATCAAAAATCAAAGTAAAAATTATTATTAAAATTTAGTTTATTCCATATAAAAAATGAATAAAATCACGTGTACAAGCATACTTTCAAATTTCTATACATATTTAAAAATAAACAATATTTAATAAACACTTTTAAGCAATGTTTATTTTGAGTACACCATTTTTCAATAAAGAACTAAGTAAAGTATGGATAAAATATATGAGACTATGGGATGGCTTCAGACGATGATAATTTTCTTTAAATCATTTAAATCGTTTGAATTCTATAATAGGATGACCATGTTAAGAAAATAAAAAAACAGGACAGCTGTTTTCTCCCCCCTTCAAAAAAAACCCCTCATCCATATACATTCACACATATTCACACAAATCTCAAGAGTAAAAGTCCAAATCTCTGTCATATCATAACCAATTATTTTCTTTTTAATTTACCCTTTTTTCAGTAAAATAACCTAGACAATACAATATTTTCTTTTAATTATTCATCAAACAACACAATGTAGCATATCAAAACTATTATAGTCTTTAAATAATATGGAAATAACGGGATAATCTTCTAAAAATGGGACGAAAAGCGTCCCATTCGAATTTTGTAGGGACAGCGGGACGTGATAATAAAAAAAGTAACTATCCCGTTATAAACGGGACGTCTAGTCACTCTATTCTATAATAAAATACCATGTATGACTATAGTTCATACAAAATTTTAATGACAGGATATTTTATTTAATCAAAATCATTTATAATGATGTACTTACCCTTAAAATTCTATAAGGACTATCTGTTAATAAACACACGTCACCGTCAACGGTAGAACTCTGACGAAAAATTAATGGTGAGAGACAAAGTTTTTCATTTGACGACAACATCCGGGCAGTACCACCGACTTTACTTTCGTGAATTCTTCTCATTTGAATAAGCTGCCACAATCTGTGTTTCTACAAGCAAAATAGAAGGTATGAATTCAAAAAATATTTTTACTAGTGTATGTTAAAAGTGAAGTTTAAAAATATATAAGAATTTGTAGAATATTTCAGATTTATAAATAAAATAGTTAAACAAAATATTAGTTATACATTATAACTATATTATATATTAAAATGTATAACTTAAATATTTGGTTATAGTAATACATGGAAATTATAATTATAAATTACTAGTTTCGAGATAAAAATTGTTAAATTAATTTTATAAAAAAAATTACTAGCTCAATTCGGTTTGGGGTTTAAGTATGAAAAAAAATTAAAAAACAATCACTCTGCTGCGTGAGAAGTTCCTGGATAGACTAATCTCGTTGTGTGGAGACCAAAGCTATTCACCTCGATCATACGACTTAACGTCGTGTGATTTTTTCTAATAGGAATACACTTAATCACGAGTTTATCAGAACAAAGTTCGAAATTTCTTGGAATTTAAGCAAGTCATTTGTCGTGTCCTCAATAAACTTGATAGGGCAATGTGTTATCCAGTGATGATATATTTTATAAAAAGAATAATCGCCTGTAGGCTAATAGGGAGGGCCATATGTCCGATATTGTTTTTCACTGTTAAAAAAATGTTAACTGTTAATTTCTTTTGAAGAATATAATATAATTGTTATGTTTTTTTTTTAAAGAAATAAATTTAATTTATAGCAGCTTTAAATATTGCTTTGTTTTTAAGACACTCTATATAAAGTAAATTATAAAAAACAAATGATCGTGCTCTACTTGATCTATTTAACTAGGCGAATAGATTTAATTGTAGTTTTATTTCCGTATATATTGTATATCAGTATTTACTCTAATTGATCTAGCTAGAACGTAGAGCAACAATAGCTTGAGTACTCTAAATACTGTGTAAGAATATAGACTACTTGTAAAGTGCTCTACCCAGAATAACTCTACGAGCAAAAATCTACAATGCACAGGTCAAGCGGTGTAGCTAGACTTGTGGAGACCCCAATACATGATAGGCAAGTGAAGCAATATTAGGTACAAACTTATTTAGTATTTACCAATTTTACCAAACCTACTAAAATATTATTTAAACATTACATTCAATTAACAAATAAGATTATGTTCATGCATTTAAATAGTATGGATAAAAATAAAATTATAAATTAGTATACATGTTACTTTATATAATACTGGAGTTTTATTCTGCGTAATAAACAAATACTATTTCATATATATTCAAAAGTTATTTATTAAAACTTAAAATTTTAAATCCCTCCTTTCTGGCCTGCTTCTCACTAAAAATAATGATAACTTCATTGAGATAGATTTTCTTAGTTTTTCGATTTAAATTGATAACAGAGCCAATCCAGTTAACTATCCTTGGCTTTGATTTTCTCAAGTAAGTTTTAATAAGTTTTAATTATGAAAAAGACCTCTCTGCATTTGCAACTGTTACTGGAATTGTAAGGTACATGACACATATAGTTCAAACATCAGGATAAGTGCTTACCGGTGTTTTATATTCTACTGTAAGTAGATAAGCAATTTTCAATTATTAAATTTTTTATTGAATTGGGGCCCCTAATCCACGGGGGACCCAGTACGTCACACCGGCTGCACCACCCCTAGCTACGCTGCTGTCAAGACCATAGTCATGGGACGAGGCTTAGGGTTCAGACCCCCCTCCAAAATGTTTATTCTTATTTTAAAACATCTTAATACCTTATATGTTAAAATTACATGTTTGATGGTTTGTGTCCGAATTAGACTCCAAAATCGATATTATACTCTATATATATATATATATATGAATGGAGAATAATATTTTATATTATTAAAATTTTTATTACCTATTAATTTTATTATATATTATAAATTCAATAATATTAATATTATTTTACACTCGATAATATTAAATTCCATGTGTGTGAATTCATCCAAATTATATTATAGGATTTTTAAATTCTTGATTATTTTTACAAATTAAAAACTTATTACAGGACAAAGAGTTGTAATTAAGTGTAAGTTCTATAAGTTTCTAACATATAGAAGTGGAGTTAGTTTATTAATGTTTTAATTTTTACTTTGGTAATCTATACTACCAAAAACGTTTAAAAACATATAAGTATTATTTGATTGCTTCTCATTTTATGATTCCTATTTTATTTTAATACCACCGAAAAAATCTAACCTCTACTGACGTACCAAAGAAGTACAACGCAATCGCGTAAAAGAGAACTTCAATTGGTAGTAGATTATAAATATGTAAACTATTAGTTTTAATAAAATAATTCTATTAGTACAAAGATTACGATCCATATTGTACATAGATATACTGTAAACTGTAATTGTAATCTACAAGAAAATAAATATAGGAGGTCAAAATACAGGAGTAAGTAATTTTGTAAGGAAGAGTAAGAGTTAAATTTAACCCAATAAGGGGAAGTATTAAGGGGCTTAGACCACTAACTCATTACCAACCCTCCTCTACTAAATGTAAACTTGTTTTTTCGCATTATGCATACTTTATATAGAGTGACATATCTCGAATAAAATCAACGTTGATTTACTACTATACAGTTTATATAAATACAAATGAAGCAATATTAGTTTAATTTAAAATATTTAGTTTAAAAATTAATAATAAGTCAACTACCAACATTTATAATGAAAATCAATATAATATAAATAAATTATCAATTTAGTTGCATGTTTGTTATCAAAATAGTTACTCATGGGAAATCATTGTAAATTACTTATTTCATTTAATATTATTAGGCACTTACTTAAAAAAAAGGAATTGAATATTAATTATAAGAAAAGTTTTTGCTGTATTATAACAATACATATTTTTCATTTAAATAATGTTTTCATTTGTGTAAATCAATAACGAGAAAATACAAATTTTTCGGCCTCAGGTTCACTATGTTTTTGACAAATTAAAATTAAAACTTTAGGTTTACTATACTTTAATTTACTAACCTAACAATGTAAATTAGTATTACCTAAATTTCTCAAATCCTTTTATTTCATGTTACATTATAAGCAATAAAATAACATTCATTTTAACATTAATAATCAAAGAAATTTTCATTGTCTTGTATTAAGTTTAGGTACAAAAAGAAAAACTTTATATTTTATATTCTTTTATGAAAACATTTGTTTGGTAATAATTGATAGTGTTAGTTTATGATTTAAAATATTTTTAGCGTAATATATTTACAAATACTATTTCATATTAAAAAATACAAATAATTCAAACCATATAAAAATAACATTGCAAAGAAATTTTTTTATCATTTTATTGTATTTTTGTTTAAAATACTTCTAGTGATAGTTAAACCTATTAAGTTTCGTCAGATTCTGTATTATTAATGAAATTTTCATTATTTAAAGCTTATTTAAACTTCAGAAATTCAATAAAAAAAAAAAAAAAAAAAAAAAAAAAAAAAAAAAAAAAAA